AGTTTTCGAGCACGAGCCTTAGGTTGTCGTGGTCTACAATCTAGATTTCGACCACTTTCACAACACTCGGGACATTCCCAACTGTTCGGTAAATCGTCGCTGACGGTTATGGTTTGTGGATCCAATCCTATACATTCAGGATGTACAATGTCGAAGCATATCGAGCATTCTACTAAACTTGACGGAGCTGTAGGTGTTGGCTTTCCTGTATCGAAGATTAAAAATGAAGTATCTCTACTTATTACCTTAACAATAGATTGATAACTCATCGAAAGAAATAAAGAAATAAATAAGTACCCATTAACGGTGCAGGCGGTTGACCCCAACCATCTAATCGACAAACTTTACAAGCTGCAGTAACTGGAAGCATAGGCCTCAAACATTGCCTCATTAAACACGTTTGCTTAGCACGACCACTTCCACCAAATTTTACCATATCTTGACAGTACATACATTCTCCACAATCAGTTCTTGTACATGCTTCGCACTTCTTACATCTAGTACGCCTACGTCGCGGAAAAGCTCTTTCAGACTTTTCTTGCGAGTGATGTCTCTGAATCTTTGTAAAACTTTTCTTAGTTATCCTCAAGCGTTCCTGTTATACCAGTAATGCCATAAGATATGTGTAAATATGATGTAAGAAATAAACATTATTAATAAAATTTAACATTTTATACATACTCTTTCAGCAATTGTCAATGGAGGTGGAGGTGGTAAAACAGGATTCCCTGTTACAGCTGCTTCTGGATTATCATGTCTATGTTGTTCTACTAGACATCGAACATCATGAATTAAGGCAACCGGATCACGAATTAGCTCAGGCACATTCTTCTTCGTGGAAGGTAGTGAATGTAGATACATAACTATTGCTTTTAAACCATGCAATTCAAATGGTGTTAAATGTACATGTTGGTGGTGTTGTGGTACTGAATGTTGACGTTGTGATTCAGAAATATCCAAGTGACTTCTGCCTAGAAGAACATGAACATATCTCTCCAAAACATACCTGTAATAAATAACAAAAAATCGCTGTATAGATAATATAATAGATTTCTTTTGAATCTCTTAAATAGTTCATCATACCATAACATTTCGGTGAAAAATGGATATCTGAATTTTTGTGGCACTTTTGTATGTTCTTCTACTTGTGCAACTTTTAATTGTTTTTCAATACCAAAACTGTGTAAAAAGTTTCCACCAAATACTAAAGAGTCTTGAGGGGTATACACAGCATGAATCCAACCAGTTGGAATAAACAAAGTCATGCCAGCTGTTAAAGTTATCCTACCACATCTTTCTACCATGTCTCCAAAGAATACATCAGATTGTTTACCACTTAATACCCATTCTTGGTAAAGAGTTAAATTCTTTTCAGTAGGAGGAATAAGCCAAAATATTTTACCACCTCTTAAAATGTGATACCAAACACTGGTTCCACCAAAATCAACATGAAAGTCTGTATAACAACCCTTTACAGACATGAGACAATACTTTTGCACTTTTGGATACATCATATCTTCCAACAGATTTGTAGATTCTACTTGTGCTTCTTTTAGGTGTCTTGGCCATACAACATCTACCCAATCAACCTGTCGCACTATTTCAGGTGATTGTACATAATTTTCTAACTTGGTATGACTGAACTCTAATGAAATTACATTTAACAGTCGCTCTTTGTTGGGATCTTCATAATACTTCTGCCATTCTTTCATTGTCATATCTTCATTCTTCTGTGTATTAACATCCATTACATCCAATATCCTTTTTGAACCTGACAAACATTAACAATGAATATTTTTTAATAATCTGGATATTAAATAAAATGTGTTTAATTAAATTAAACATACCAACACAAGTCCTGACATCATTCACAGTAAAATTTGTACTGGGGACTCTTAATCCCAATCCAGATTTATCCCTAAAGAGTAATGGTATGCTCAGACCATGCTTTTGCAGGTATGCTAAATTGAATTCAGAACCTGCCATTTCACGGAATAACCCGGTGAAATTGTTAAGGTTGTATCTTTCACACTCGATTTTTTCATCGAGTTGGAAAGTCCTGCGACCCTCAATTTCCTCATCGCCTATGGTCCAATCGTCTGTATATAACTTTCGAGTTCTTTCTCGCTACAATAAAATTCATGACAAATATGATTTTTTTACAATTGGAATTAATGTTAAATTAAAAAGTTATGCTAGGTTTGTTTACCAATTGACGCCTTTTTGGCAGAGAAGTAGAGTCATCGGCCATTGCAGACATGCTGTCAGAAACGTATCACCGAAATCTCATCGAATATTCAATGTATATTGTCCTTTGAAGGTCAAACTAGTTCCTTTAATATTATATAAACACAATCTCGTTTATTATTTACATGTCACGCACAATAGTCTAATGTTAACATCGAACTTTTCTTTGATTTTACTTTCCCAGTAAAATGAGGTCCCCATTTTGTTGCCGGCCAATGCTACCAATAAGAGCTATAAAGAATCTCACATCATTTCATATAATGTTATGTTACATCTAGTTATATATAAATTTAAAAAATACTTCCTTATTTTTACATAGTATTATAAGACATAAAGGTATATATTTTTTAAAGATATTATAATTGTACAATTTTTAATTACATTTCATATAAGAGATATCAGCAATGATCTAGAGATTTTGCATCATTTCAGAGAACTATTGATGTGTTCCATATTACAGTGTTAAGTCCTAGTAGTATTACATTGTATGGGTATTTTTTGACAATTTAGGGTTACGAATCGAATATTGACATATTTATTTATATTATGGTGTTTTAAATCTTTTATTTTTTTATATAATCACAAAATATTAATCAAAAAGAGTTGTAAAGATATCTTTTCATCTATAAAACTTAAAATATTTATTAAAGTGAGGAAAGTATTAAAAAATAAAGACCTCAATAAACGAGTTAACCATGATGAGCCTTCGTGATAGGCAAATAAATGCCTTAAAACTGATGTTAAATCTGAATCAACCGGAAAAAAAATTAGAAGAAGCAATACCTGTGTGGAAAGTTTTAATTTATGATAGACTTGGACAGGATATTATTTCACCATTAATATCTGTAAAAGAGCTCAGAGAACTTGGTATTACACTCCATATGCAATTACATTCTGACAGAGATTCTATTCCTGAAGTACCAGCTATTTACTTTTGTGCACCTACAGATGAAAATCTTGGTAGAATTGGTCAAGATTTGCAAAATGGATTATATGATATTTATCATTTGAATTTTATATCACCAATAACCAGGCAGAAGATGGAAGATTTAGCAGCTGCTGCATTGCTTGGAGGTGTAGTGTCAAATATTCACAAAGTATTTGATCAATATTTGAATTTTATATCATTGGAGGATGATTTATTTATCCTGAGACATCAAAATAGCGATGTCATATCGTATCATGCAATTAATCGGGGTGAAGTAAAAGACACTGAAATGGAATCTGTAATGGAAATTATAGTTGATTGTCTTTTCTCTGTATTTGTTACATTGGGTACTGTACCGGTTATAAGATGTCCAAGAGGAAATGCTGCAGAAATGGTTGCTAAAATGATTGATAAAAAACTAAGAGAAAATGTTTGGGATACAAGAAATAATTTATTTGAAAGTGAGACAACTGGTCATTATAGTTTTCAAAGACCACTTTTAATTATATTGGATCGTAACATAGATATGGCAACACCATTACATCATACATGGACTTATCAAGCATTGGCGCATGATGTATTAGAAATGACATTGAATAGACTTGTTGTCGAGGAAAATGTGGGAAGATCTCCCGCAGGAGGAACACGTTCAAAGACTAGGGCTTATGAACTAGATAACAGAGATAGATTTTGGTGTCAACATAAAGGTAGTCCATTCCCTAGAGTAGCTGAAGCTATACAAGAAGAGTTGGAACAATATCGTACTTTTGAAGATGATGTTAAAAAGCTCAAATCATCTATGGGTATTGATAATGATAGTGAAGTAGCATTATCAATGGTTTCCAATAATACAGCACGTTTGACAAATGCTGTTAATAATCTACCACAACTCTTGGAAATGAAACGATTGATCGATATGCATACATCAATTGCAACAGGTATTCTGAATTTTATAAAGTCCAGGAGACTCGACACATTTTTTGAATTAGAAGAGAAAATAATGAGCAGGCAAACATTAGATAGAAGTGTATTAGAAACAATAAGTGATCCAGAATGTGGTACTCCGGAAGATAAATTACGTCTTGCTATTATATATTATATTTGTACAAATATGTCAGACAGTGAATATAGTAAACTTGAGACAGCATTATTTGCTGCTGGGTGTGACTTAAATCCTCTAATATACATAAAACGATTAAGAAGTTACACCCGAATAGCAGAAATCCAAAATAATTACGAAGGTGGTGGTACTAAAACAGTTAGTATGTTTTCAAAATTAATGAATCAAGGATCATCGTTTGTAATGGAAGGAGTAAAAAATTTGGTTGTTAAGAAGCATAATTTACCAGTCACAAAAATAGTTGATGAATTAATGGAATCGAGGCAATCATCTCAAGCAGATGATTATTGTTATTTAGATCCAAAGCTCTTAAAACCTACAGAACAAATGCCAAAGAACAGACCAACATTCCAAGATGTAATTGTTTTTATTGTTGGTGGTGGAAATTACATAGAATATCAAAACCTAGTGGACTATGTAAAACAAAAAAGTGGGGCTGGGGTCAATAAACGAATCACGTATGGTTCTACAACATTTATTAATGCAAAACAGTTACTTAAACAACTTTCACTCTTAGGACAAGAAGTTCACTCGTAAAATTTGCATATTATACAATAAATATCTGAAAATACTTATTTCCCATTCCCTTATAGCGTACAGTGATTTTCCACATTACTGTAATTGACTCTTTGTAAAAATGTAAAATAAATAAAATACGTTTAATTATTTTAAATACAATTTTTCTAATTGTATTTACCTGTCATTGAATTTGTTATATCTAATACATATCCATGGTCCAGATGTATGTTCAATTAAAATATGCTACATAGAAAATCTAGGGATTTTTGGTTAGTAAAGAAACAAACCTGTATTTCAAATTGTTTGATCAATGGATTATACGTACAATTAACATCTTCTCGTGGAATATTAAAAATTTAGTGAACATCGTATTAAAACATTCATTTTTATTCACATCACTTTGTACTAAATTAAAATGGCTACCATACAAGAAGAAGTAAAAAATTTTATTCGACGAGCTGTTATTACAGCAGACCCGCAGAAAGCTGTTACGGAATACTTCCTCTCGAAGCAAAAAGATCGTGATGTTAAGTAATGTAACAAAGAAACTATTTCATATAATCAATTTGCGATACATTACAAGTATATTCTTTGCATTCTTTTATTTTCAGTTCGATAACAATTAGGAAACTGATGTAAAATTTTATGAAAAAGGTTGTCAAAGTATCTTATTTTTATGCGTTTTCTTTATATAATTAAAAAAAAATCTAACATCTCCAAAGATATGTGAGTTTTGTCTTTTATGTATTAGAAAGTATCCTGAATGGGATAAGCCAAGAGTTTACCCGGCATTAGAAGTAGTTAGAGCGCGTTGTGAGTTAGCAAAAACCGAAGAGAGATTACATGCAAAATGGGTCGAACAAGAGAAAAAGCGGAAATTCATGGACGAGCAATGGGACGAGATGAGACGTCAGGAATTGTTCCTCCGAGAATCATTTATAAAATTCAACAGATTCGTGAGAGAAAATCAAGAAAAACGTGATCGCGCGGATAGCAAAATTAAAGAAGAACGTGATCGTCAAGCAAGTAGGATGGAAGAAGTAACATATCGCAATAAAATTAATAAAAGAAAATTATTTACGTAGTAGTGGAAATATAATATTTTTTATTTAGTAGAGAACATATGTTTCAGATAAAAGAACTCGAAGAAAAATTAAGTTACATGAATGATGTTCGAGATAGAATGAAGAAATATGTACAAGAATATAAAAAATATCATGATTATTTAGACAGGGTCATTGTCGAAACAGGCGAATTTCATTCAATTTCTGAGATTTTTAATCGTTACGAAACTTTAATCGAAGCACGAACGATTTTGTCCGAGCATCAGGATAAAAATCTCGAGATATTAGAAGAAAGGGGAACAGAAATGGTAATTTTCTTAAGATATATTTTATTGGTTTTCCATTTATAATTGTACAATGGAAAGGATGCGTATCTCTTTTTTTATAGCATCATATGACGGAGTCAAAGTCACAAAAAATTATGGGGTTGAATAGTAAATTAGCGCAACTACAAGCAAGACGCGATTGGGCAGAAGTACAAGCTCGTAAATGGGAAACAATCGTGGCTGAAATAAAAGTAACTGCAGCGGAGAAAAATTTGGAGCACATGCAAGTAAAAACGTGTTGCTGGAATCTATATCAACAGATCTGCAAGAGAAAGGATATTCCCGTGACTGTAAGCAAAGATGACGTCGAGCAACAGTTAGATCATATTAAACGAACCATTCTTGAATTAAAACGAATCATAAGAGTTGCAAAAAAACGCGCAGCGAAATAAGAGAATCGTTTTACTTGAAATTACTTGTCCAGCTACTGTAAATAAATATTCTAAAGAAATTAAATATATATAATACTGATAAGTATCTTACTATTGTTACTAAAAATTGGATTGAAAATTTGTGGCGGAACAGTTTTACGAGTCTCACAATTACGTCGATGATTCAGCCAATTACCTTGTACTTCGTAAATGTTAATGATTGTGTATCCAATTTACAGGCTTTCTGTTACCATTTTATTGATATCGTTTCTGTATGATTTTCCTAGCTGCCGGTAAATGACAACCAGATATATTATGCAGGAGTTCCGAGTAATCTTCTTCGAGTCTTTGTTTTAACTTTTTAGTAGCTTCATCGCGCGTTAATGGATGTTCTAAACCTTCGGATACGATCTGTAACTCTTCTTTTTCGATACATCTATACAATTTAATTTTCTCAATAAATATTCGTTATAAACATTACACGCAAAGAAGCTAAACGAAAACAAACAGATAAGAAAAATTCAAAAATATTGGAAATAGGGAAGGATAAGAAAGAAAGGAGGAATAGATGGAGGTAGATGGAATCGAAGGACTTACAAGGCACAGGGTTGAGTAGGGGCAATATATTCAATAGGAGGCACTTTCAATCTGGGTCTTCTCTCTTCGTCAAGTCGTAATTGTTGCGTTTTGGTAGCTTTATCTAGCCAATATACTTTGTGGAACATTTGAGTAATACGTTTTTCAATGATTTCTAAGTATAGCATGACATTGCACGTTGTTATCTGTTCATTATCACCTAACAGTTGCAAGATCGGAGAATTGTCACAACGAATTGCTTTAAAGAGAGAATCTATTCCTTTTAACAATTTCTCTATTACGTCGTCACACTGAAACAAATAATAAAGTTACTCATTTGAACAGAAATATTTAATTTTTAAGGAAATTCGACGTCGTGGTTTGATTTCGTAGATTTTGATTCTCTGATATTCGATGGAATTAGCAAGATGTCACCTGTATCAGATTTTCTTCAGCCGCATCAGCGAGAGCGGTTTGTTCTTCAAGTTCTCGTTTGAGTTTCTCCAATGTTTCGGCCTGTTCTTGATCGGTAACTTCGTTCGTAATTCGAGCGTCTTGTATAGCTATTGTCAACTGAGCCATCCTCGACTGGAGACCCTCCAGTTCATCGTTTAATTCGTTCACATAACTGAATAAAGCAAAGTTTTCTTCTTCTTGCTTGATAAAATACGCTATCAGCTTATTGACGTCGTGCACGCCTACAAAAACGATTATTCGTTACAAAAATTTACTACTTTTGAATTTTAATATTATTTTAATGTTATTATAATATTAATACTAATATATATTTTAATATTATGTTTCGTGTTGTTTCGCGATATATGTGGAAGATAAAGAAAACAGAAATACCGGTGAATTCTTTAATCAATTGTAAGATATTTTTATAATTCTCGATCTTATCTTGTTTCTCTTCTATTTTCGCTTTCCTTTCAGCTGCACGTTTTGCATTCAAATCACCCATTTCGCGATATTGTCCTTTTACACCAAGAAATTCTTGCAATTTCATTTCATTGTCCATTGTCCTTTGTAATTCGCACATTTCTGACACGTGAGCCTTTAGATCTCTTAGCCCCCTTTAAAGAAAATAATATTTCAATGTTCATTTCTGTTCGAAAGATTGTACACCGTCACCGGAAGCAACAGAAGTGTAAGTCAATTAATGATCCGACAAATAAAATATTGGATAACCGATGTAGAAGCGAGATCACCGGATGTTATCACGCGTCATTGATTTCCGATCGTTACTCTTGGTTCCGAGTTTCTAATTCAACGATGGATAATTCGTTCTACGTGAAATACGAATAACTTTCAGGTCATTAATGTAATCCTTAGAGTTATGGGGACAACGATCCAATCTTTTCAACTTTCGCAGCTATTCATTGGTAAAGAGTGTCGTGAAACTTGTGGCAACAATACTAAGTACGTTTCTGTGTAGTTTCATTTTATACTAATATTCAAGATAAAAGATTCTTTAAAAGCGTACCTCTCACGAAGAGCTTGAATCTTGTTCAATTCTTCGTCCCTTTGATTGAACGCGATGGTAGCTTGCTCTATTAAATCATTGATTATTTGTTTTCCGGCGTTTAATTGATTAATTAACTTATTCCAAAGTATTGTGAACTGCGATCTTTCCTTCAACATATTTTCGATTTCTTCTCGAAGCTTTTGGTTTTGAGCAACTACAATATTGAATCTTTTCGTTGCTACTTCAAGTCGATTTTCCAATATATAAACCATTTTATTTTGTTGCACAGATATTTCTTTTAGTTGCGTGTCTGTCTTAATTTTTGTTTTGAAAATTTCAACCTCTTTTGACAACTGAAAATAAAGCATTTTAATAGTATCGTTTCATCTTGAAACATTCATGCTTGAAATCAATATCGACGATTGATAAACCTTGTGAATTTCATTATCGAGCTCTGCTATTTCCTCTTTCTCCGTCTTTATCATCTCGTCATATTTTGCTTGCGTTGTTAACATACACTTTAATTTTTCTTCCATTTCCTCATCTTTACGAACAAACGTTTTCGAAGTTGCAGTTTTAATACGAAGAACGAGTTCTGCTTTTTCGTACTCCAACCGATTAATCATGTTCATTTGATTGTGCAGTTGTAATTTTGCATCCTCTGTACAAGCACCTCGATCATTTTCCATTATCCTATACTGCCTTTTCAATCTTGAAAGTTCAGCTATAGCTATCGTCTCAAGTTCTATCTCGTCCGGTATATGTTGCAGTTTATGCGCCATTATGGAGCTTTATTTTTCAATAATTACAACCTTTCAAAACATAATACGATTTTGTTATATTTTTATCACTATCATTTTTCTTTAAATGTTAATTTCTTATTTCTTTCGATATACAATAAACATACACGTTACAGTTAGTCTACAATTTCTCAAACTTTATTTATTGAGCAAACTTTATTACAAACTATACACTACTTGTTGTTTAAGATTCTTTTCATCGATTGACGTCTAAGTATAAAGGTTAGTGCGAAACTCACTATTTATTAATCATTTATAGAAAGTTACGCTCAATGGATCCGAGATTTTTCCGGAAGTTGGCAACGTTCACATCCGTGTCTTCCTCGCCGTCCACGTAGATGATCTTTAGGATCCACGGAGAGGAAAACACTTTCCCAATGTAACTGTCGATGAGGTTCAGCGGCGACATTTGAGAAACACATCTGCCACCCTATATAGTTCTACTAGCTGTACGTGCGGCACCGTTATTCTTTCTTGTTGATGTTTCCGGTTGCCAAGCACCCTCTCAGGGGTGTATAGTAACGGGACCCTCGTTTTGTGAGTTAGCGAAAAATGTTCAAGCGATCTTTTATCGTTATACGAGAAAGACCGGTTTGCAAAGAATTTAAAAAAGCATATAACGAAGAAATATATCGTTTCTAAAAAAAAAAGAAGAAAAAAGACAGTACAAAAAGATTAAAATGATTCGTTGAATATCAAAGTGACACTTTACTTCTTCTGATAAAACCAGTTACTCGAAAAACCACTAGATGGTGCAAGTCGTTTAATGAAAACTAATGTTATTAAATAATTATATTACTAAGAACGACTGATTGCTAACGAATAGTGTCATGTGATCACCAGCTCTTCAAAAAAATGTAAATTTCATTACATACTTTTCCTTTAATCGATCTATTACTAGGCAGTTTGTAAAGTGCTGTATAATAAAGTAAGTTTCTTTCTTTCGCGAAGATGCATCTCTTTTTTTTCATTCGTTCGTTCAATTTCACGTTGGAATTACAGTGAAACTGCTCGAACCATTTTGTATGAAACATATTTTCTAACTCTCGAAAGAGTTTATTTATTTTGTGCTATATTAATTTATAGGTCGATATAAAAGAAAGTAATAGGAATTTCAACATTTATTTTAACATAATACATCGGTAACAGCGGTAAACGTAGGAGGATCGTATGTTAAACACGATCCATAGATTTCGTGAGATCGAGTCAGGTGGCGGTTCGACCAGGTGGGTCAAGCAGTGGGGGTAACGCTGGTGGTGGGTACAGCCAAGGGAGAGGTTAGTATGCTTATAGAGGGAAAGGTCGGCAGGTCGATTGTCTTATGTTTTCGTATAAAATCCTGTCACACTGTATTTTTTCTTATTATCCCGCGTTTTATTTTCTTTCTATAGTCATTACAATGCGAAGAACAAGTGAATACCGAATACTATGCATACACGATGCGAGATAAACGTAAATTACTCGGAAGATAATCTAATGCGATAACGTAGCGTCGGTGGTGATACGAGCGATCACAATCGAGATACATAATTACACAGAGGATCGAATTTAGCAGTGCGAGTGAACGTTTTCGTAGCGGAACGCGCCTGACCAGTCGAACGAATTACTTTCAGCCGAGGTCTCGGAGGTGGGAGGATCTCTACTTGGCTGAGAAGCACGGCGCACGATTCCGTAATATTTATTTTCTACTGGCGGCTAGTGAGTCACTACCTGGCCGACCACGGTGCGGCGAGCTGGTCGCCTCGTGTGTCCGTGTCCTTCTGCGCGTGCTTCTTGCAAACAGTGAGTTCACGGTGACGCTACGAGCCAGTCGAGATTGTCTTGTACAGAAGGATCTGCAAAGGATAACGAGAATAAAGGGGATTATTGGTGAAAAAGATCATTCTCCTTTCACGACGATCGTATCGATTCCACGGTGATCGTATCGTTTCCACATTGTCGAAATCCAAGACGGAACGGAATACAAAAGCATCATCGTCTCATTGAAATCGGTATTGTTCAAGTGTTAGGCAGAATATTCTGAATCACTGACGTCATATTTATCGAAGGACAACTGAAAACAAGTACTGCACTTGTTATGTCGCGAAGGTTATATCGATATTCGTAAAAATGGGTCGCAGAATACGATCGACAACAGACGCTAGTGTTCCTTGATATATCAGTCTAATGTCCAACATCGAGTTTCAGGATACTACGTTGAATCGTTGTAATTTTATTAGTAGTCGAATACGATTTGTGCATCGATCACTTATTTATGTACGTGTCGTAGTGAGCAGTGCGGCAATTTTTGCGTGTGTATCGTACCTGGAAACGATCGTGAGCAAGACGGTAGAGGGGTTACGTCCGTATGTTATACCCATGTTGGTCGTTTCGAAGCGTGGTTACATTGTTGACTTTCTATCGTAAAGTCAGGAATCGTTGCTGCCTCTACGTTCGCGTGTAATAACGAGGAAACGGAGCAGAACAACGGAATTAGTCCCGTAACAATTCACCTGGTTTTTTCACTCGTCGGAGAATGTCGCATTGACAATCGATTGACAATCGATCGACAAGCGATCAGTCGAATGTCGATCGATGCTAACCTAGGATTTAATCGCGGCATATCTCGCAGGGACTCTTTGTTTTCAAATTATCTCGAAGTGAGTCGACCGTGCGAACGTGCATGTGTAGTGTGACGAATTGTGTATTGGCTACGATTTATGGAAGTATTCGAGAGCAATATACTCGTCAAAAGATTACGTCCGTGAGTGTGATCACAGCTGATCGTTCCTGATAGTGAGAGACTTTACTGATCGACGAGAGAACCTGTTTGGATTCCAACGTGTCGTGCACGAGTCGAGGCGAGGAAAAAGTGAACTTCTACACGGTCTTTATTTTTGCACACGTCGTTTATTTTATTTACAATATTCGAAGGTGAGCGGTATGACTCACGTTATTCAACTATGTTTTCGAAATTTTGAATCAGCGCGATATTCGCACAACGCGCATTCCAATATTTTTAACTCGAAGATAAGCTCTTAGTTATCAAAGCTTTTAATCGTATAGGAAGAAGCAGTTAAAGATCCCACTTTATATTATATATATTTTGTTGAGGAGTCGATACAACCGATTTCAATTATCTGCATACCATACGCCAACGATTTTCTTCGATAAAAAATGAAGATTGAGCAAGCTTCAATGACATCGCTTTTCCAGTGAGATTTTAGATATGCATATACTACGTATTAATGTCAATCATCCGCGACACAAGTATCGCGTGGTACGCGACATTCAAACTACGTTACTTCTATTGGATTGCCCGTGTTGATTAGTGTGTATACCCGCATTTTGTGCATTACAAATGACTGTGACGTTGAGACGATCGGCCACTTGGTTTCGCGAGTGTCATCATTACGAACGACAATAAAAGTCACGCGTTGGCCTGACACGTGACATTCGATCGACAATTGGCGAGCGTGTAACGACTCGCTATCACGATGCTACCGAAAAAAGACGGCCATCCGGAGCCGTACGCTCTGGAGGATATGATATCCGACCTTCAAGCGCGACGAAATTCCCTAGATCAGGAGGACCTCGAGGATCCGGTGGAACTTCTAAAAAAACGCGACAAAGACCTTGTATTAGCCGCAGAATTGGGAAAAGCGCTTTTAGAAAGGAACCAGGAATTAACCAGACAGAGTGAAGCACTCACCGAGGAGTACTCTTCAAAATTAGAGGTAAGCTTTTATTTGAAGTTAATCGGTTATGTTTTTGGGTTTCTAGCCCCTCATTCTAGTCACTTTATTACTGTATCATGAAGTTATTATATTATTATAACACTAGATATACTTCGTCGTTGATTTCGTTGTTAGGAAACGATATTGACTTAAATCTCGTTAATTTACCAACTGTAAAACGAATTGTTATATTGAATACGATATTACCAATAAAAATAAAAAAATTGTTGCGAAAACTACCAGAGATTCCTTTCTTATATGTATGATACATTCCATTCCGTTTCCATTGCGTTTCATGGAAGGAATTTTGTGTAATAAACAGCATAAGTTTATTAACTACTATATCAATATGTGTTGCGAGAGATAAGGAAAGTATCTTATAATTGGGTACGATCAAGGTAGTCTGTTTAATCAAGAAAAAAGAAAATATAAAACGATAAAATCGTCGTCTCGCGATAGGTTCGTTTATATCGAAATCAATGTTATAGCAAGAAATCAAAGTGATATGGCATAACAGTTCGTCGGAAGATTAACGGCACCGATTCGCATTGCGTAAGGGAAGGTTTTATTAGATTAATCGTGGAGGAGTGGTTTGCCTCTAGAGTTCTCATACAGACCGGTTACACACCGTTTCATTACACTGAAAGCTCGCATTAAGGGAGTCGCCGTATCATCTCGTATTAATAGAATAAAAAAAGCCTCTAACTGATCTATGAATAGTGTAGGTAGAGCTATAGGATGACTGTATGCCAGCACGCGCGTGAATCGTTGAAAAAAAACCTAATCAACTAGCTGTCCTTAGTCTAGGTCATTCTAAAATATGGTTATCTTTTCACAATTGTTCTTATCATAAAAGCTTTAACGCGTTTATTTTGTACGTCTCAGATCAGAAACTGCGCGTATTTTTACGATATGTTCGTGATATCGTTAAAGCAAAAATCATGACGTTAAAAAAGAAAACTTCCATAATAAATAACAAAGCATATATGTACGTAAAGTTTTACAATATGGTAGTAGATCCTGCTTGTTAGCATACAGGATGTTTACGCTATTAATTACTCAGTACTTTTCCCGTAGTTGGTAGATTTATGAGAAACGTGGCGGAAAACAAATTTTCATTACTTTTTATGCGCGATATAATGATTTGCAGGCTGAAGTACATATTTTTAAGATTTTATAACACTGCATAGATATATAAATAATAGTATTTTCTAACTGTACACAATAAATATACACATACATATTTATATTTATTGTTTATAGTTTTATAGTTTATATTGTTTATATTGTTTATAGTTTTGGATCAAGTTTTGTCTTGTCATAAGAAATGGTAAAATTGTTTCTGTCATAAAAGGCGACCTCCAAGCGAATCATCTATAAAAGAAAACAAAATATTTGGGATTGTGATGATAAAAATTCGATCAGCAACGAACATTTTATATTCATTTGTTTTGAATGACGTTCGAATATTTGCCGAAACAGTCAAGTGGATCGGTTAGGGTTGTGTTGGAGTGGCTGTCTCAAACGGTAGTTTATTAGCGAGCGATTCGCATTGCGTGTGCGCATTCTCCTGCTGCAAGTTTTCATGACTTCTGCCGACTTTTCACAAGAATGAATCGAAACAAGGAAAGAAAAGAAAGGAGAAAAACGAAAAATGAAAGTCGAGGTGCAGGCTCGCGAGCGGATAAAACGTTTCTCCGCGGATTTCGCCGGAATCGGGCCACGGGGCACGACTCTGAATTTCAAATGCACTTTTAACGAGTACCGTGCCGCGATGGAGATTCGAGATCGTGGCAGACGATAAATTTATCTGCGAAAACTAATGGCAACGCTGACATTGAGCGCAGCGTCATTCGTTGATAAACTTCTCTCCGTCACGTGTGCCGATTTCATTTTTCACCTTGTCGCGTCGCTTTCGCGTTCGGTGCGACGCATTTGTACCGCGATCAACGTGTTACTTTTCTCTTTCGACTGCCTGATATTGCTGCCACTGACAGCTATATAGGAATAAATTAAAAAAAAATGATTTTACACAGTTTTACATCGCATCTGATAACTATAAAATCATACAAAAACTTCCAATTTCTATTTAAAGTCTACGAAAGTTCGTTAACTGTACATTTGGTTATTTTAGCTTTTGTATATCTCTACTATTTTGTAGTGAAATATTCCATTTTCACAAAATTTAACATTAAAATGCAAAAATCGAGAATAACGTAGTTGTTAGCGTTTTCTTTCTCGTGTCCTTCGCGTTGTATTACACATTTTTATGTTTTATTTGTATATTATATCTAATCTTATTGAAAAATAATTTGTCATTTTCTTCCTAAAAAATTATATATATTTTTTATAAATATTTTATAAGTTTATAAGTTTAACTGTTGAGTTTTACATGTTACTAATAAGATTAATATCGTGTTCTATTTTACACTTGGTGCCTACAGAATAAGAATCCAAAATTTAAGAACCGTTATATTCGACTAACAGTATATTATACATGAAATTGTCGGGAATACCAGAATAAAATTTCCAGATTTTTCGCCGTTTTCATCGTTAATTTTGCTCGTTGCCGAGTCACTCTTATGTGTCACGTAACTTGCAACTTGTGAAAATATTATTAACAGGGCTCTGTTAAACGATGCTCGAGCAATCGGAATTTAAGGGAAAATCACGGAATCACTTGTTTGAAGCAGCGGAAAACACGCTAATCGCAATAATCACGAACCTTCCTGTACAGTATTTGTAATTCTACCTAACTGTTAGAGCATTCAACGCGATTTTAGATATACATATACGATGGCTTTCCATGTATGTTTTTGTATGGAAGTCTCACGCGAGATCATTACTACAAGTGGAATTTATATGCATTCGTAATATCGTCCTACAGCTTGGAAAGCGTAAAATTGAGATGTTCGAACCACGTAACTATATAAATCTTTTTCATTACAATTATGTATTCCACGAAAGATTATTGGGAGACTGCGGATATACAATGCATGCATAGAAAAAGAAACTGTTTATAGTTATATAAAATATGCACATATATGCATATATATATAGGAAATAAAATGTAGCGGTTATTGTATTCACTTTTTCATGTGTGGTGATAACAACGTGTTGTCAAGTGCAGGCCGAATGTTAGCGTCCGATGAGACACTACCACATTGGTGTCACGTGCAAATCGATCGATTATATAAAATTTACAAATTTGAACTTTTTTACCAAAAGACACCGGCTGCTGGTTAAATTCGTTAGTAAATTTGTACGGACGTCAAAATGTTGGTATAATGAACATAAATAACGAATAAATTTACATTCAGATTAACTTATTGTGTAATTATTACTGGCAATAAAATTCTGACATTTGGTCTGTCTCAAAGTACAAGAAACGTACCTTTAAATTTCATATTATAGGAAAAAAGAGAAATAAAACTTTGCACAATACAATTATTGATTCACGAACAAACATTCGCGTACTTATACGACCGCCACTGCATTTGCTACGATATTTGGAATCAATCTCTACTTAACTTCGATCTCTATTTATTTAATTATGATCGTAAAAACACGAATTTGTATACTATTGTATTAACGTTCAATTGTAGATATTGGTTTTATTGTAAAAGACACAGAGTAGCTTGTCCGCATGTTGCGATGGCATGTAACTTGCCGACTTGGAGTAGACAGTCGTACGGTGGTGGACAGAAAGCCACGAAAGCGTGGAAACAAGTCACTTAGGTCTTAGGCAACGTAACGTCAAAGACAATGCCCGGCACCACGGTCTGCCTGCCCGCGTACCCGCTTCTTCGTCTATCTTTCCGCGTTTTGCCTGTCACCGTATTTTTGACCTCCGGAGAACACGCTATGAGCACGCTCCTGTGTTTCTCTTTTGTCTTTGGTTACAATGCTAGTTACACACGGTGCCTGGTTCACGCTTATAAACTGGGATTCAGTTCACTGGGTTACTTCAAACTTCGTCTGTTCGAGACTTGAAATTTTCGACCATTTGTTGAATACGAAAAGATTTTTTGGAAGGTTGTGGAATTAATGTACAGAGCGATTCGACACGAGGGAAATTGGTTTCGCCGAAATGCGTATTTCTTGGAGAATTTCTATCGAATGTTATATTTCTTTCTGCTCTGGGTTTCATTCAATTTCGCTGGAAGGAAAAACTCTGCCGAGCGAAAGACAAAACACGCGAACATTACGATTACTTGGGCGTTCGCGATTCTTTTTATATTGCAACGTGATGCATTCCAGAAATGATTGTGCTTTCTTTCGAACGAATCTACGTGTCTTCCGCCTTGCTACCGGATATAATTATGGTTTGCGTCATAGCGTTCGGCGAAGATGCATGGAATCGCTAAAGAAGCGACACATTCGAGAAAACGATATTTTATCGGTGTTGCATCGTCACTTTGTTCGATAATTATACAAAGCTAGAACAGTATCGCGTCAAAGAGATATCGTCATCGATTGTATCGCGTCGTTAATACCCGCGTTATTGCCCGTCTATTCTCACTTCATTATGTTCACGTGCGATTCACGTGAATGGATTATTTCTGAAATGAACGATACTGGAGTACATTCTTATCCGGTATCGTTAAGAAAATATCCATGAACGCGTAGGTTCTCTCCTTTTTTCCCCGGTTTTTGTTCGATTTACTCCGCGCTGCTTTCAACAATTTCACTTTCACGATGGACTTCTCGTTCATAAACGACGCACGACTATGCGTGAACTTGTCCAGATACACGTTGGTATAAGATGCGCGTGTGAATTGCAAGGACTCGCACGAAGTAGTCACGACGAAGTCTTTGATCGAATGGTTACAATGTTTCGTTTCCGGTTACTTTAATTAAATCCGTTCATGTTACTTTTACAAGTTCGCGTATCCGGCGTTATCGCACATGTGGTGTATGCTTAAAAAGTTACGTAAAGCCTCTAGAAAGCATTTTAACAACGACCGATCGACGGTTTCCCCGACCAATCCACCTCCAAC